ATGTTCGAGGTGCTGCCGCAGGGCTCGGACCTGCCGGAGCTGCAGCGCTGCCGGCTGTGCCCGGACCGTTGGAAGCCCTGCATCTGCAGCTACTCTCTGAGCATCGAGTGGTACCCCTGCATGCTCAAGTACTGCAAGAGCCGGGACGCCGGGGGCAAGGTCTCCTCCTACAAGTGTGGCATCCGCAGCTGCCAGAAGGGCTACACCTTTGACTACTACGTGCCGCAGAAGCAGCTCTGCCTCTGGGATGAGGAGACTTAGCGCAGCTTCCTGGGACTTTTCTGAGGGGCAGCTCGTCTCCTGCCACTCTTCACGATGCCAAGGGCTCCTGGAGCTGGCTGCTCCGAGGAAGGAATGCTGTTCACAGCGGTGCCTTGTGCCAGGAGAGCTCTGTGTGTGTGCCTTTCCTTCCGGCCTCCTGTGACTCCCTCCCCACCTGCCGCTGCCTCATCCCGGGACAAGCGGGCCCAGCTCGCTGGGTGTGATGCTCTCCTGCCAGCTGCCAGAAATCCAGCTCCCTGGGAGCAGGGGACGCAGGTTTTTGGGGGTGAAGCACTGGGAAAGGGGGTGTGTTGCCCTGCTCTGGAGTGAAAGGGGCAGCTCTGATCGGCCACCAGCCTCGAGCTGCATGGTCAGGGCAGGGAGAGAAATGGCCTTGCTGACCCGGGTTGTCAAACATCTCTGCCACTGAAGAACCCCCTTCGCTGACTTCACCACCTCCCAGTGGGAAAACAGCTGATTTTTGGGACCACATCCCCTGAGCAAGGAAGGTACGAAGCCCACCCAAAGCAAGAGCCTGCCTGTAGCTTTCTGTAGTGCCCTGCTGGCTGTTATATCCTTCCTGTGGCCAGAGATTTCATGGGGGGATATATCCCAGCAATGACTTGTGCCCCTTAAAGGGCTGGTAATTAAGGCTCTAATTAATCCCTGTTTAGACTAGTGAAGGCCCAACTTTTTGTGCTGGTCCTGTGACTCTTGACTACCATCCTAACACTGTGGTTCCAGGGGGAGAGGATGATCCCAGGTGGGTTTTGAAGGAGACAACATCCTACATCTACGTCCAGTTTTATGTCCTACTCTGCCAGCTATTCACAAGAAGCTCTTAAATAATTGTACTGCTTTGCTGTGCCTTGATTTCCCCCCCATGTTAAAGAGGGATGACACTGTAGCTGACCTTGGCCCTGGTATAAACCTGGAGGGATCAGAAGAAAAGCACTGTAGCAGTGCTGCCTCAAGATAGAACAAGGAGGGAGGAGAAAGAAGCTCTTGGGGCCTTTGGGACCCCCTGTGCCTCCTGGTAAAAAGCCTTCACAATGTGCCTTTTTGCCTAAAACACGGGAATTTTTGACAAAAAAAAAAAAAGAAAAAATAATTTGGTCACAATTATTTTTGTATCAATCATTTAAGGGGGGGAGAAGGGAAAGGTATTTTAATATTGGAACATGAAGTAAAACACACTTGAAATGATTTTTTGTTTTTTTTTTTAAAACAAATTATTTATCATTTGTAAGGTAAAATAAACTGATTTTTTTAAAGCATCCTTGGCCTGAAAGTTTTTCTCCGTGCATGATACTGTCTGTGGGTTTGTCCCATCCACTTTGGGTTCTTGATTAAGAATGGGTAAGTCTCAAACCTGTACCTCGTGCAGACCCAGGGATGGGGGGAGAACATCCTGCCCTCAGCGTGACCAGGAATTTTTGACATTCAACCAACGTGATCCTGCACCTCAACCATTCCATGCTTTCAGCTTCTCCATGGGGAGACAGGTTTGACTCATCCCAAGCAACCGTGGGAGCCTTGAGTTGAGCTCTGGTGACTAAAAGAGCAGCAGTAGAAGCGGGTCCCGGGGTTGCAAGGGCTGGTTCCTGCTCCTCTCTCCCCGTGGTCCCATGGGGGGACAGGCTGGAGGCTCCTCTGGGTCCTGCAGCCTCCAGAAGGTGTTCCTTGTGAATCCCTCTGCAGGCACAGCTGAGGGGAGGGCAGGGAGGCAATTTTGGGCCAGCTCAGAGCTCTCAGGGGCTGGAGGCAGAAATGTGGAGCACTGATTCCCTCTAGTGTGGAGAATGCAGGGATGGGACGAGGATTTCAGCCCTTCTCCTCTTCACCCACCGAGGCAATTTACCCTCTCCTGTGGTTTCTGGGGAAGATGGAGTTATTTCTGTTTCCCTGACGTGGTCAGCACTGCCAGGGATTTGTCCCTGGGTCTGCAGGACCCCGTGGGATTTGTCCCTGTTGCTGAGTTAAACCCAACTGTGGGGCAGGTGGGATGGAAGAGGGTTCTGGGCAGTCCTGTGTAGCCCATTCCCGCTGCTCCCTGCTGGGCAGAGATGCTGGGACGGGCATAAGGAGCATCGGGTCAGATCCCCGCGGGTTTCAATGTGCTGGTTTTGTAGCTGGGAGGCTCCGGGGTACCTGGAACCTGGTGCAGGATCCCCGGCCTCCACCAGTGGGTGCTGGTGGAGCACGGCGGTGCCCGGGACAGGGATGCTCGTGGTCCAGCCGCACATCCTGCAGGACCGCGCCCTCCCCAGCCCTGCGAGAACACAACTGAAGCTCATTTGCTTTTCCCGAGAAAAGTCCTTCTTAATACACTTAAATAACACCTGATGCAGGTGGAGACAGGAAACCTCCCCGGTGCAGTCGGGGATTTTGTAACGTCTCTCTGCAGCTGGTGCTTCCAGTCCAAAGGCCACAGCCCATAAATCAAGTGCTATCTGCAGGGCTTATCTTCCCCCAAGAGGGGAATAAACATTGGCAGCAGGACTGGAGGAGCACAGTGAGGATGAGAGCAGGAGGATCATTCATTGATGGCCACGGAAAAGAAGAGCAGCGTGTCTGCTGACATTCAGGAGTGATCATTTCAGGTGGGGTTAAAGCAAATCTGCCTTTGCCTGGTGAAGGGGGAGGTCTTCTTTCAAGTGCTGATGCTGTGATCCCCCCCTATTTTTAATAAGGAGGGTGCATTCTCTCTTCCCTGCACAGCACATCCCCAAAGCCCAGGGTATCCAGGTGATGGGCTTTGCTCCCATGGCTGTTTGGGGAGAAAACCATCAAAATAATACTTGCCCCCGCTGTTTCATTGACCACAAAATAACCGCCAGAAAAAGTCATTCGCAGCTTTGTTTGGGGCCAGGAGAGGGCACTGGTGCCCTGTCCGTGGCCGGGACAGCTTCCCTGCCCGGAGGATGCCCAGGATTCCAGTGCAGCTGGAGATGCCACCCGGGAGAATCTGGGGCTCCAGGACAGGCTGCTCGGCTCTGGAGGATGGAAAAGCACCAGGAAAAGCGGAGAGAAAAGCCCACTGTCGGGTAAAACTCCTGATCCGTGTCCAAAATGTGCTCTGATGTGGGGGAAGGAGAGATCTCGTGGTCCCCAACCTTTGAGGCTGGCCGGGAGCCACCGGCGGGCTCGTGTTTGACGCAGTGAAGACACCTGATCGCGTCAGTCTCCGGGATGGGGAAAACCCAGACAAAAACACTAGAAAACGGAGCAGGAGCTGCCCAGGAACGCCCCAGGGCTCAGGGGCTGAATGGCCGGAGCTGGGGATCGGTGGCAGGAGTCCAGCCCCTCCAGCAGCTCCACGGGAGCTGCCTGTGCCAAGCGCCCCGTGTCACCTCGCTGCTTCCTGGAGCTGCAAAAATCTCCCGTCCTGAAAATGTCAGTCTGACCCGGGAACTTCCCCCCCTTCCACCTCTTCCCCCGACTTCCCTCCACTTTTTCCTTGTTGGAGTTCCACTGAACTCATCCACCCTTTCCTCTCCCGAGGATGGAGGTGCCTGGCCACGCACTCCAAGGGCAGCTCCAGCCCCCGAACTCCGGACTGGGTTGGAGGTGAGGCTGGAGATCCTGCCCGCCCACCCATCTCTTCGGAGAAACCTGTCTTTCCAGGGAGGGAGAGCAGTATGTGGGAAAGCCGGGAGCCCTGGAACGTGAATTACCCAGGGAGAGATGAATGTGCGATAGCTCGTACCTGGCAGCTACCGATTGAGCGTTAACACTTTCAGGAGGGGGCTGAGGCAGCGCCGGGGCTCGGGCTGTCACGGGGATGTCCTGACTATCACAGGGATGTCCAGGCTGTCACAGGGATGTCCTGCTGCTCCGGGGGTGGTGGGGTCATCAAGGTGGCACATGGTGACACTTGGGGCCGTCGGGGTCACTCGGTCCCTTTCACAGCACAGAGCCGGGGCTCTGGCCTCAGGCAGCTTCCAACAGAAGCAGCCAACTTTAGGGAATCTTTTTTTTTACCTGTCTTCCCTGGAAGCTGGTAAATACTGCAGCTTTAAACAAGGTGTATAAGGAGGAAGAGCTGTCTGCTATTTCTCTCCTCTTCTTGGGGACACAGATGTACCCTGGAGAGCCCGTGTCAGGAGAGGGGAGTCTCCATGTGCTAATCCTAACCCTGCCCTGTATCTTTAGCGGAGGCAGGTTCCCTCTCTGCTTTTAACTTTCCTTTTCGTGCTGGTTGTGCCATGTGGCATCACTGAGGTTCAAGGCAGACTGAGGGGATGCAAAGGCTCCACAGCACAGGCTGGATCCCCCTGAGCACATCCCAGGGTTATCAGCGGCCAAAATGAAGCGCAAGGGCTGCTGGCCGGAGGGGCTGTTCCCACAGCTCCACCACCTTCCCTCCGGGGTGCTGCTGCTGCTGCCCAGCCTGGCTCGATGCCTTGGCCTCTCCTACCTGTGCACGGCCAAGGGCAGAGCCAAAAGCTTATCCACGAGGACAACTGGGATGCGGGGCAGCCGGCGGAGCCCCCCGCTCTCAGCCCAGCAGGCAGGTGCTGCGGGTGCATCCGCGCAGCCGAGGGCGGGCAAACCCAACCCGCCTTTCCTTCCTTTCCTCTCCCTCCTTCCCACCCCACCCCACGCCCTGGCAGCGCTGCAGGGACTCATCCATCCATTCCCGAGTTACTAATATGCAAATGGGCGCTTTTGCATGGGCCTGACGCCAAGCTGCTGGGTGTCAGGGCACCCGAGGGAGCCGGAGGTGGGGCGAGGCGTGGCACCGCGCCGCATGCTCACCTGGCCCTGCATGGCAACAGGCAATGGAGCTCTAGGTCCCTTCGGGAGCGGACCCACGGCCGGTTCGAGAGGCAGCGGGTGGCAAGGGAGGGAGGGCAAACTGGCAGCCCCTGGCAACCTGGGGCTGACGGCAGGAGGCTGGGCACACCGCGGATTTCCCTCCGCCAGCAGGATGGTGAACCTGGAGTCTGTGCACGCAGGTAAAGGGCGCTTGAGGAAGGATCGGGCTGGAGCTCGCCGTGTCGCTGGGACCGTGGGCTTGGGCAGGAAATGGGGCTGCTCTGATTCCCGCGACCTTTCCTCCTTGCTTTCCCTCCTGTTTTCTCCCGCTGGAGTGGCTGGTGAAGTGCCCACATTCCTCCCCGGGGATGGATGCTGCCCTGGTTTGTTTAGGGGGCTGCCAAGCCATGCCCACAGTGTGGGCGCAGCGCTCCCGCTGCCAGCCCCGACGTGGGGCCGGGAGCAGAGCTTAGAAATGTCTCGGGTACCTGGGAAAGGAGGGTTTGGTGGGACCTGTGGGTCCTGCCAGTGGGATAGAGCTGGGAGGAGTGAGAGGGGGTAAATTCACGGAGGGATGCAGCAAGGGGGTGTGTGTGTGAGACGGGACATGGGTTGGAAGGAGAAAAGTTAACGGCAAAGAGGGAAAAGGAGAGAGAATGAATGAGGAGGGAGCTGTGGGAGGCTGGGTTGGGTGAGGAATGAATGAACAGGGATACTCAGAGAGACTCCTTCCAGGGGGTCTGATCCAGAGATTGTATCACATTGTCTCTGAGCAGACCTTGCTCTGCAGTTAGCTGGGGAACCAGGGCAATCCCTGCCAAGTCCCTTGGAGCTGTGCTGAGCTCCAGCTCACCCTGACAGAGCTTCTGCCCTCAGCTCAAGCCCCTGAGCTCCAGGGGAAGGACCACATCCCTGGGCACGCGGAGCTGAGGGCAAGGCTGGGGTGGGAGCAGCCAGATCCCGACAGCCCTGCCTGTGGCAGGGGCAGGCAGGAGGGTGTTGGGGTGCAGAAGCCATGTGCTAGTGACCTGTGTCTGGTGCTTTGTGCAACACAAAAGGCTCTGTTAGCCCCTGGTTTGGAGGGATGGGGAGGGTTCACCCATCAGTCTGTCCAGGGCTCGTTCCCTTGGATGCCTATTGGCACGCTGTGAGTGTTGGGAGTCCAGGGCTCATTCCCTTGGATGCCTGTTGGCATGCTGTGGATGTTGGGAGTCCTACTGTGCAGGGAGAGCTGGGGAGGGTCTGTGCTCAGGGCTTGTAGCCCCTCAACAAGCCCTGCCTGCCTGTGGGCTCGCAGACAGGCCCGAGGGCAAGGCAGATGGTGCAGCAATGCCACCCCGACACAGGTCAGGCTGGCAGAGGTGGCCAAAGCCTCTGCTCCGTGGCTGTTTCCAGCCTCTCCATAGCTCTGGGATGCCCACAGCCCCTCTATGGCCAGCCAGCACCCTCCTGAGTGGACTGGCTCCCTGTGGGGGCAGCTGGGGAGCCCTGGCCATGAGGAGAGGCTGCAGGAGGCTCATGGGCTGGGCTGGGCTGGGAGCCTGGCTCGCCTGAGCCCCTGTGCTGCTGTGAGGGGTCTCTTGGTGACGTGGCCCCACAGGCTCTGGGCTTGTGGGTGACTCTTTCCTCATGAGAAGATTCCCTAGGTCGATACTGTGCCCTCTGTCAGAGCCAGTGGCATCACTCCCAGGGTGGGTTTGGGCAGGAGCTGCACAGGGCTGGGTTCCATCCCCCCGTGCTGTCGGTCAGAAGGGCCGAAGCTTTAACCCCCCTTTGTGCAGGGAGGGAGCCCAACACAGGTGGGAAGGTTTTTTTTCACCCTTGTGCAAAGGCAGTTCAGTCTATTCAATTCTGGGGTCCCCAAAATCCTCGGAGTCCCTTTGTAACAAGCTGCTTACAGAGGTGTGCTCCGTTTTTTTTCCCCTGGGCTTTTCCAACCTTAATGATTCTGTGGGGAGACACGGAGTGCCAGGTGAGGATGGGCTGCTCTGGCTCTGCACACCCTCCTCCCTGCTGAGAGAATTCCCTGGTGGGTACCACCACCTCCTCCCCAGGCATTTTGGATATTTCCCCTTTCCTGCAGCTTCCAGAGGGGCTCAGGCACCTAAAGCACAGAACACTCAGCAGACTCCAGGTGATGGTCCCCCTCCTCCACCTCTGGATTCCATGTTTAAAGTCATCAGGCTGGTTTACCCTTGCCCATGTCTGAACAGCTACGGGGAACGAGGGCTTGGGAAAGGCTTTATTTGCTGACACCATTTGTTTCAGCAAAAATACAGATGCAGATATATCCCCAGAGAAGTGTCTGCACTGGTAGAGCTCCTTTGGTCTGGGTGAACAAACCAGCTACCCCTACTCCAGGTATGTTTGGGAGCTGAGGTGCAGCAGCACATTTTTAATATGGCCCAGGCCGCAGTGGCGGCTCCTAATAGGGCTGTGGTTTAGGATTAGGCAGTCCTAAGTTGTGTTATTTTTCCCAGAGAGGTTTGGTTTGTTTTTTTTTTTTTTTTTTTTCCTAGCCTGCTTATTCTCTGTGTGTTGCTAACCTGGCAAAGCTGTGTGTAGTTGGACTCAGTCTCACAGCCTGCCTTGTCTTTGAGGGACTTTTTTTTGGATGGAGCAGAGGTCAAATCTAGATTTGCATCACTCTGTCCTGGTTGTAGTGGGAGACTCTTAAATGTCAATAAAAAGGTGTTGGCTGTGCTTATGTCATTTTAGAAAGTGATTCCTCTGTATGTCTGCTGCTTGTTCTTAAGGATCACTGGAGGATGATCTATAGGAATACAAAAGCTGGCCAGCCCCAAACCTCTCAGATCAGTAGGTTTTGATAAAAAAGATTTTCCTTTTCTTCCTGGTGTTTTTTGGTTTTGTTTTTTTGTTTGTTTGTTCGTGGGTGGGGTTTTTTTCCCCCACAAGATATTTAAACAGCAATAACTTGTGCACGTTTACGATGGGAATTTGAATCTTGGTGCACATAAAACCCTCCTGCTGTTTCCACGAGGATCATGGGGCACCTCGTTACCTCCCGGCTCCTGGAGGAGGGGATTCCACTGATGGATAACATGTCACATGTAATCGAGTTGCAGCAGCAATTCCTCCTTCTCTCCCCACCCACCCCGGGTTAGAATGGCCGAGGGGGTGGGGGGGGGTCACTCCTGCAGGAGGGACAGAGCTTCTCCTGCTTTGCTTTTTCATCCCTCCCTCAGCTCTGCCTGAGCTGTTCCAGTTCTTGCTCTGTGCCCATTCAGGGCTCCTCGGTCTAGGGGTTTAAATATTTCCTTTCACTAACATATATTTGGTGGTTTGTGTTTTTTGGGTTTTTTTCAAGCTTTCAGGCTTTCTCACCAAAGCAAGCACCAAACTTCTGCAGGCTTTTAGATTTTTCTTCCTCTATTTTATGAGAACTTGCCTCTTGGATTTTTTTTTTTTTTAAGATACTTTTTGGCAGGCAGCAAAACTTTGTGCTTTGTAGATTGCCTAAGTTAGGGTCCCTTGGCAGTGTTACAAGACAAGAAGATGTTTATAGCTGATGGTAATTACTCTTCCTGCAGTAGAAATGCTTTAGAAGCCCCACTAAACATTCATGTCTTAATTGCAGAGGGTTTATTTGAAGGGGAAAAAAAAAATCCCACAACTCTTTTCTCTCTCTCTCCTTTTTCCCCTCACTCCTTAATATAATTTGAGGGAAGGAAGTTTCTGAAGTATGTGAAAGTTTCTGCGCTCTGGTATAAAATCCTGATTTTTTTTTTTCTTCCTACCTTTATTCCTTTACTGAAGAAAGTTTCAAACATTAACTTGATCAAAGATATTAAATCTTGGCCAAAAAGCAGATTATCTGCTGTTTAAATAGGGGTGAACAGAACCTGAACACACACAAAGCTCTGCCTGTTTTAGTGTGAGCAACAGAGGGAAATGGGTGTAAAACCCCACAGGGTTCTTCTAATCCTTTTGGCAGTTTGGAAGCAATAAAAGGTGGATATAGGGAAGAGGAAAAGGTTTGCATGATGCTTTTAGATGGCTTCCACCTGCCTTCTCTACCCCAAAAAACCCACAGCAAACACCGGCCCAGCTTCCCCGCTGTTGTTATTCCCCGATGCAAATGGGATGAGCCTGTGGCTGCAGGAAGAACATGCAAATCACTCGGGTCCTGATAAAAAAAAAAATTATCTCTCTCTTTTTCACCCTCATCTAGTCTGGAAACAGTTAAAATTCCCGTGCAAGAGGTGTAAGAGCTGAGGGGGTGTCCATCTGAATTCGCATAGATATTCTCCCTCCTTTCACCGCTGTGTCCTTGGCCTCTTTTAAGGAGGAGATGAGCAATCCAGGGTGAAGTTGACCATTCCCACCTTTTCTTTCAGCCGTGCCCGAAGGAGAAGGTGGCCCCGGGTGTGGTGGCAGCCATCACTTCAAGGGTAAATGACAAATTCATTGGCCTCGATAAGGATGGGGGAGGATATTCAGGAGCTCCATGGGAAAGGACTCTTTGTGCTCCTGGGTTGGGGATGATGCTTTGGAGCAAAGCAGCTTCTCGGTGGCTTGTGAGGGGTGTGAGCACGTGCTCCTGAGAGAAAACAGGGAAAACAGGGATTAGATGGAGTGGGGAAAATGAGTTGAGTTTGATGGGCCATCTTGAGGGACATGGAAAGGATCTGGGAGAGGAGGGGAGAGCTGGGAGGGATCCCCTGCCAATGCAGGTGTGGTGGAGGAGGGTGTCAAAGGGACACCACCCCAGCAGGTTTGGGAAGCTCAGGGGAGAGCCCAGTGGGGCTGGGGGGGCTCTCTGTGGTGAACAGACCCCTCGTCCTGTGGGTGAAGGGTGGGAGCACCACAGCAAGGTGGGGAGGGGGGGGAAGGAGTGAGGGGGATGCAAAGAGCAACAGGAGGGAAAGTGCATCCTCGGAGCTGATGAATATTCTAGTGCCTGTATGTTGAGGAATCAGAAATTTGAAAGTCTGATGGTTTATTATAATTACACATTCATTTGTGCTGTTTAGTGGAAGCCACATGTGCCTGTTGCCTGGGACTGTGACCTGTTATTAAAATCAGTTGTGCCTCCTTTTGCAGAGATCAAGATGAGCGGGGATGCGGCAGATTCCACAGACACCCGGCACGAACCGGACCAGGTGGAGCCAGGTAAGGAGGCTCTGGGATGTGGGGGACACAGGGAGGGGAGGGGGAAGCAAGGAAAAGCAAAGGGGAGTGTGGGTGCTGGAAGTTTCTGCTCTGCTCGGCTCCTGTTGCTGCTCCACCGCGCTCTTCCAGCCAGCCCGGGAGTGGATCAGGAATGTGCTCTGGGCTAGGATTGCGCTGCTATCTTGATCAGCATGCAAGATCCTCTCCCTCAATGTCCTCTGTGGCTTCAGCAGGGAAACGTGCTCCCGCCTTGCCAAAGGAATGATGGCACTGGAATGGTCTCGGTCCCGCTCCGTGTAGCGCAGGCAGCTCTTCGGGATGGTTCCTCAGGCAAAACCAAGCCTTTCTTTGGCCATGTGTGTGTGTGTGTGTGTAGAAAAATGGGAGGGACTTCGGGAATAATCAGATCCAGTTAGGTAGTTCCAGAAGAAATGCATTGCTCTGCATCTTGAGGCACGATTGGGTCCCTCGCCTCCTCTGCTCCCGCCTGATGCTGCCCAGGCTCTCGCTGCTCAGTGGCTGGAAGCCTCAGTATTCCTTGGCTATGGAAAGCTGAGGAACAGGGTGATGTTTTAAAGGTGCTAGCGCTGATTTCTGCCAGGTTAGCAACCAAAAGCTGTGACAGACACCAGAAAAAAAATCAGTTTCTGCCATCAGTTCTCCCTCCCACTGCCTGCAGGGAGCTTTGAATGCAAGACTTGGACCCGTAATTTCACAAAGGCTCGTGGTCACGTCCCTTTTCAGGCAGATGAGCAGCAATAAGAAATAATTTTAACGGCCACTAGGCATAGCAAATCAAGATTATTAAAAGCTGTGCTATAAACTTAGAAATAAAACCTTTAAAAACCAAAACTGCTAGAGAAAATGTAGGAGAATGAATTATTCTCTAGCCCTGAGCTTGGGGTAGGGGGATGTGCAAGAGGTTAAAACTTTGTGTGGAACGATTTTACTGTTTCTCTTACTTACATAATTTGAGATAATGTAGAAAAAAAATGAGATTTTGGTTAACCCTGAGAACTTTAAGCATGTTTTAAAGGGACTAAACCCACCCCTTTATTTAGAAATCCTCAGTGTGCTCGTGGCTATTAAGCTGGGTTATTTGACATAATCTAAGGCAGAGATAAAATCTGGTTCTATTCACGTCCATGAACTCTGATTGACTTTGGTCAGCTCAGCTTCTGCTCGGGGCTCTCAGATCACCCCAAGTTGGCTTTGGAGATAAATGTTTCCAAGCTGCTGAGCAACAAACACATCCCAAACCTCCCAGGCTCTTCCAAAAACAAACCAAAAAAACAACCCTGGTAGCTGTTACAGGGCCTTAAATCGGGAGCTGGAGCCTCCTGAGATGTTTGGCACACGGAGTTGATGGATAGCAGGGTTAATCAAGATTAGGGAAGCCGGGTATTTGATTCTGGTTATTAAATGGAGTGAGATATTCTGGCTGCTGCTGCTCTTGGGAGTCAACAGTGTTAAACCAGAAGCTGGCGCTGCCTTTGGTTGGATAAAATATGGTTTTTTTCCAAGCCTAAGCTCCCCAGACAGCCATTAGTGCGAGCTGCAGCACCTCTTTCTAGTGGTAATTGAGGAAAGAAAGCACAGAAGCGAAGTCAATTTGTTTTAAAATAACAAAAAAATGTTCGCGGCAGCATCAGCCGTGCTCCAGGAGCCTTCCAATCAAGCAGGGAAATCAGAACGAGTAAATCACCTTCATTTGCGAAGAGCGGCACAAAAAAAAAAGAAACCTGTTGAAATCCTGTTGAAATCGCTCTTTTTTCTGCTGCCACTGATCTGTTTGGTCCCTTCGGGTTTTCCAGGGATCACTGGAGGGGACATTTGGCTGCGAGGCAGGAGATGCTCGTGGGGGTGTCCGGCACCAGCCACCACCCCCTCCCGTGGGGTGTCCCCCTTTGTGACCCCTCCCATGGAGTGTCCCCCTTTGTGACCCCTCCCATGGGGTGTCCCCCCTTTGTGACCCCTCCCGTGGGGTGTCCCCCTTTGAGACCCCTCCCGTGGGGTGTCCCCCCTTTGTGACCCCTCCCGTGGGGTGTCCCCCCTTTGTGACACCCCGTGGGACCCTCCGGGGGTGCCCAGGGCAGGGTGACACGTTGGCAAACGCTGTGGTACAGGTGATGTAACCTGGCACATCGAGCCCTGACGCTTCACCCAAAAACTCCTCGTGGTGGTTTTTTTCCTCCCCCCCCCCCTCCTCTTTCAGACCATTCTGTTTATAAACAACCAAGCTCTTTGTACTGAACTTCCCTGGAAGTTTTTATTTGTCGTTAGAGGAATATTTACTGCGGCACCTGATGGTTTAGTGTTTTGGTTACCGGCTTCATGTGGGGAAAAGCTGTTTTCTGATGACTCATTAATTGAAGACCCATTTCCTACTGAATTACACCAATCCACACGACTCCCCGGGAATCTTGTTACCCCCAAAGGAGAGGTCTGTTCCCAAACTAACAATATTATACCTTACAAAGGCTAGAAACCCTTCGAGGTGCAGATATCCACAGGCCTTTCATCACCAAAAGCTGCAGACTGGCTCCAAGAAGAATTAAAAAAAAAAAATAAATCTATATATATTAAAAAAAAAAAAAAATCCTGGAGGGAGTTGGGTGCCAAAATGCTTTTGTAAACCAAGCCCTTGATCTAAACCTGATGCCTAAAGATCTGATGGGAAGTGTCAGTAGCAGAAGCATAATCTCATCCTTTCATATCTCCGCCAATTCCAGGCTTAGAGGGGGGAAAAAAAGAATGGTAATTTGGGGCATTGTTTTACTTTGAAAGTGTTTGAAATAATTGTGGGGGGTTTTCTTTTTTGAGAAAATTGTTAAAATTGTTCGTCTTCCGTAGGAGGTTTGGAAAGATCAGGCTTCTTTTTTTTTTTATTTCCTTCTTTCTTTTCTTTCTTTTTTTTTTTTTTTTGTTGTTTTTCCATCCACCCAATTTCGTAGAAAATGCTTCAAAGCTTTTTAGTAAGATATTCTCCCCAAACCCCAGGTTGGTTTGATTCCAGCCTCTCCGAGCGCAGTGGAATTTTGCCTTTTAAAAAAAAAAAAAAAAAA